AAACAAAAGGACTTGTTCTAAACTTTAACAATTACTCATAAATGTAAAGCTTTAAAGCGAACATCACACATTCACTATAAACCACAAATCAAACAAGCACATATCATCAATCATGAGCATAAACAACCATAGCAACATTTCACAAAAAATAATGAAAACTCTAATACTTGAAAGAATACGTAAGGCATCGAATTTACCCCCTTTTACACCCACCTCATATCCGTCGAAATCAACTTTGATGTCGCTCTTAACTTTCCTTACTGACCTTTATAATAATATCCTCGCTTCCACGATTCCATAGGCGCCGCCGGTTCCTCGTTTGGACGTCAAACGAACAAGTTATGGCCAAAATAAGAATTCTGCCAGATTCCAAAGTACCAGGTACTGAAACTGCAATTTTTTCAGTCAAAACTTTCGAGACCCCCGGTCTCCTTCGTTTGACGTCCTAATTCGTTTTCTTCGACATGTTCATGATCCCGGGATCATCCTCTATGTTGTGATACCCATTAATCGAAGAATAGTTGAAGTCGAATATTTCGGTGTCGCCAACGTAACTTTTCAATGACCCTCCGACGAGTCATATGACGAGCGGGTTTTGGCCACCGTTTGCTTCCCGGAGATGCGTCGGGCACTCTCGCTGTTGTTGGTTTCGTCGCCGGCTGCTCGGCTGCTCTTGGTTGTCACCGGCTTAATGATGGCAATGCGGAATGGTGACCGGCTGGCGTTGCTTACGTCGCGAGCTACTGCTACCGGGCGGAGGAGGGCCGGGCAGCGAAAGAGTCTCGGGGTGCTGGGGGTTTCTATCTTTTCCTTCTTTTTTTTTTTTTCTTTTCTTCTTCCTGCTGCTGCTTTTGCTAATAAAAGGAAGGGGATTTTAATTGCGTTATTATGTGAATTATTAGGGTGAGCGGTTGTGGAGAGGGGAAATTAATGGGGAAGAGAGAGAGTCAATGGAGGGGAAGGTTTAGGTGGGGTGGGGTTCTTCATTTTTTTTATTATTCTTTTTTAATAACTATTATAATAGTAATAATAATAGTTATTATTATTGCTATTATTAATACTAATCTAGTGATTTAGTTTCTCTTATGAATAATGATATTTTATTGGCCCTATTTATTTTGTTTTGGTTTCTGTTTCTTTCTCCTTGGTGTGAGGTTACTCTTTATAACCTCCCTCTTGTTCTTGCTATCAGCTACTCACTTTTGTTCTTCCAATTTTTCTTGACTGAAATATAAATGTTACTTAACTATGGGGGTTTGGTTTCCTACTTTTCAACAGGGCACAATAAAAACCAATGCTAACTGTCGAGTGGGTTGGAGTCAGAAAGGGACCTGAGGGAATGTTATTCGTCTCGGTGAACTAAGGAAGAATTGTGGAACAAGAGGAAAATAAGGGAACACTACCTCAACTTCTGCAGGTTCACGGTTAGGAGGCAGCATGCAACACATAACATCATTTGGTACCTCTGCGAAAGCAAGAGCAAATGATTTTCCAATCAATGAAACTACATGCCAAGATCCATATTTAGATATCATCATTTTAATTTAACCGTTCATGTTTTTATATTGATATTACTTGTTTGAAATTATTTTTCTCTCAAATTAGTTTGGTCATTATCTAATAATGTATTGCACTCTCCAACAACTGAAGAGAGTGCTCCAATTATTCAAGAGAAGAACACATTGCATTCTGCTTCTTTTTTCTTTCATGGAATGTTCATCATTTAATTGTATTTATTTGAAACATCCATAATCAATATGAATTGTACATCTCCTTTTATAACTTCTTTTTTTATAAAATGATTCTTTCATCAGATTACCAGAACAAGAGGAAAAGAGGTCCGAACAAGTGCAATAAAGTTGCCAAATTGAAACCTGGAGAAAAACTGAATGTTTTATTCAACATCCGTGTTGTTACTGAGAATTATGAAGAGTTTTCTAGATTTTTGGGGAGGATAGTACGGTGTCCTAGCGTATGTCCTCTAGCAATACCTCGATGGATGAATATTCCAGAAGAAAAGATAGATCACATGTGGGCCATTGTTTAGGTAAAGAACTTTAAGATGGTCTTTATTGTTTGTTTAAATACACTTGTACTATAAACTTAAGCCCATTCAAATCAAAACTGTATATTTTGCAGGAAAAATGGCATGTCGATGATGAAGATAAGAAAGCTGTGATTGACTAGATGAGAGGGTCATGGAGAAATGCACGAGCTGATTTTCAGAGAAAATATGTTAAACCATGTAGAAATGTTGAAGAGGCCGTCAAGAATATTCCACCAGAACTTCTGAAAGAAGAATGTGAGTGGCTGGTAAAGGTCTCGTGGTTGCTCCAATCCATCTAGCACCATAAGCCGTTTGTCTTAGTGGCTCTTCAGGACCCCAACTCTCGGCAGGGCACATTGGAGCAAACGTTGGAAGGTGCTCCCAAACCCATAGTTGGAGGATGAACATGGCACCACCCGTCGGGTCCGTACACTTGCAGAGCTCCGCATATATCATTGCAAAATAAGCAGATCCCCAAAATTTTCTCCCAATCTCGTTCCAATCTCCTAAAAGTACTCGGACCCACATACAATGCATATTTCCCCCAGATTTTTTCGGAAACAAAAATTCTCCAACCAAACAAATCCAGTATATGCGAGCATACCTCTCTATTCCGAGCATCCGTGGCATCCTCGTGCAACGAACCAGCGTTCCTCACTAGCCAATGGATCGATAGCATAGACTTGTGTAGAGGTGGTACATGACGACCTTGTGGTGCTTCCTTGGGGATGTTGATACCTAAATGCTCGCTTATGAATTGGCACCAACCATTCAATGGTTTCTGTGAACACTCTATTATGGCATCACCATTGATTGGAAGCTCTGTCAGCATGTCCACATCCTTCAACGTAATCGTCATCTCTCCCTCTAGATGGTGGAATGTGTATGTTTCTTTCCTCCACCTTTCCACCGTTGCCGTAAAAAGGTTGTTGTCCATCTTTATCCCCACAAAGATTCGCACCCTCAACAATCCCGCTCTTTCAATGAAGGGCTCGATCCGAACATCCCATTTAGGCAAACGAGATAGCGCCCGATGGGTGATTACAACAAGTTGTTCCTGTAGAAAAAAGGAAAAGATACATGAGGAAATGCCTACCGGGTCCGCCACCCAAATACTTTCAGACCGATGGTAAGGTTGCTCATCCAACAAATCGGTTTCTCGCGGTCCTCCTTGAATGTATAATCTAGGATCGTAAATATTCGGGTCCATCTCGTCAATTTTGAGGGATAAAGTTACCAAACTAGGAAAAAAAAATATGATGTGGCAGATCGGGTTTAGTCGCAACCATATAGTATACTTTTTTCTTCAAGAGTGGTGGAAGGAAGGGAGGAAGAAAAGTGGAGTGGTGTGAGTTTTGGTGGAATGAGGGGAGGGGTATTTATAGGTTCCGTGGGAGGTAGTGGATCGAGGGTAGGAAACTCGAAGCAGTGAATCGAGTCCTCTGCCATCGATCCGCGTCACATGTGCATCGAGGTTGTGTCAATCGGACGCCGTAGGACGCGTTTATGGCACTCGATCCTTGTCACCCCTAATTCACGGCAGAGGGAATCAAATGGACTGGATCGCTTCTCGAACACTCGATCTAGGGTGGAGCGCGTCCTACGTCATCCATTATGCAGTGGGAAATCCCAGAAAATAGAATGAGGAAGGAACTAAAACGTCGTGGCTGAAACGATACCGTTCAGAAGGTTATGCTTCCTCGCTACTATGGGGCATGGTAAAGGAAACCGTACCGGAAGTCATACCGGACTCATCTGTGGTATGCTATTTCGTGGTATGACCGTGGTTCAAACGTTGTGTACCGATCAAAATATCGTTTTTTGTAATTAAAAAAATATTTTTTTGTTAAAAAACCGGACCGGCAAATTCAGCATACCGTTTCGGAGTAATACCGGAAGAAAACCGGAATATACCGGACAACAAACCTAAATATAACAATCTCTACAGCTGCTCTATCACAGATAACTAGAAACTGGAGCAACTCTTATACTCGAAAACCAGGAAATGCCCATCTATCAATGAGTGAAATTCTGCAAAATCTTGCCAATCATTCATAAATATCTAAACCAGACCCCAAATTCATCCCTTACTAGACCCACCGACCAGCTTAGCCCATTTGGGACCTTCGGAATTGTAGAGTTCGTCAAACCCTCCACGCAAATTGTGACGAACCTCGAAGGAATCAACTGCGAAACGTAGCATGCATGTTGAAAATGAAAGATCTAAAACCCAAAAGCCAGCTTCCAGTTTTGGCAAGTGGGTAAGAAATGGGGAGGGAGAGATTTGTGCTTACGAGCTTCTTGTCGCGAACGGTTTCCCGGAGAATGATTTTGAAGAAACGAGCTTCTTGTCTTTTTGAGCAGCAGGGGAGGGCACTCGAGCAGGCGGTGTGGCTGAGGAGGAGAGAAGAGGAGCGGCAGAGTGGATCAGGGATCGACGCCAATCGCCAGGGAGTGGAGCGACGGTCGCGGGTTTCCTCTTTGCTTTCTCCGATCGTGCGTCGCGGGTCGGGGGTCGCCGGTCGCAGGTTGCAGTCGCCAGAGGAGAAGAGGAGGACGGCAGGCGGAGTTGGAGAAAGAAAACGACGAAAGGAAAGGGCTCCCAGATGGTCAAATTAGGGTTTTTGGATTTTTTTAGTTTTTGGCCAATGGCCGATTTTTTTTTTTTAATTTTAAGTTAGAGAACGGTGACGTTTCCTTCCAGTGACCCTATCGCCGGTTAGACCACAGCCGGGCAGTATTTTCGTTTATACCAGTTAAGCCAAAAAAACGGCCGGACTATATTATGATGCCAACCTGCCTACCGTATCGTGCTTTGTCCTGTTTCCGGTTTCCGATTTTCCGGTTGAACCGGCCGGTACGATCCGTTTCCTGGTCCATGCTATGGGGTCCTTCCGCCGCTCGTTTCTTGTCGTTGTTTTTGGCTTCTTATTTATCTGCCTTCAAAATTTTCGGAAAGCCAAAAAGGAAAATATTCGCACAGGGAGAATTTGGAAATGAAGCCATTGGAGGTGCTTCGTCCTCCACTTCTCTCCACAACTTCCACTACCTTCCGAAGCCGCTCTCCGGCGAATGTCTTCCTTCGTTGTTCCCGATTCCGCCCATCGTGCTGCTCCATTCCACCGGAGACAGTTCGGTATCTTTCTCCCCTAATTTTTTTTGTTAGAGGTATCGATTCCTGTATCACAGTTTGCAATGAACAAGGAACAATTTGTTCTACTCCAGGTGAATGCGGATGCGCTGCGATCTGAGTACAAGCCTGGATTAGTTGAAGATTTGTTTCTGGATGTGTTCAGAAGCAAAATGGCGAAGGTGAGCACACTGAACTTAGGTAAAAAAAACCCAGTCAATTGAAATGAATTGGGGCCTTTTTTGACTGGTTACTGAAACAGGAGGTAGGATGGGACTCGGAGAAGCCTGGATACGAGGGTCTGATTGAAGTTGCCAATCGTCTAATGTTGACTGGCAGAAGCAGCTCTTATACTAGAGATGCAGCTGTACGTTTGATTTTTTTGGTTGCAGTGTGGAATTAAGCTAGGTAGAGAGATGATGGGATGCCCATTGAAGCTCTGTTGACTGTTGTGGAACTTCTATTTTTGGTTTGACAGGTTAGGATACTGGTGTCTCTGTTTCCTCCATTTTTGTTGGAGCTCTACAAATTACTCATCTCACCTTTAGCAGGAGGCAAAGTTGCTGCCATTATGGTTGGTGAGTGTTGGGCCTACTTTGAATTCGACAGTCACTTCCCTTCTAAAAATTGACAATACTTGTGGCCTTCTGAAGCAAGGGTGACACAGGTAACATGCCAGTGGTTGATGGGGAAATGCACGGTGAATTCAGTTGATCTTCCTGGTGGGAAATCCTGGGAGAGTGGGGTAATTAAGCTTAAGCACCTGAAATTCCAATTTGCGTTCTAAACCTTCTGTCTTGAGTCCTGCATTTGCACTTGTCTTTGCTATATAGGTTTTGGTGGAAAGATGCAAGTATTTGGAAGAAAGCAAGTGTATTGGCATTTGTGTCAATACCTGCAAGCTTCCAACTCAGGTATATGTCCGCTGGGCTTCCATCTCCATGGCTGTTCTTTGTAGCTTCAGCTTGTTTACTTCTGTGATCGTGTCATTTTTGTCTAGACTTTCTTCAACAACTACATGGGAGTCCCTTTACTGATGGAGCCAAACTTCACTGATTATAGCTGTCAGGTAATCCATCTCTTGTGATTGTTCATGTTGAGAACACATTATGGTTTGCTTTCCAGTCACGAACTTTGGAGTCCAAGAAAGGGAAAGTTCACTCTTTTCTCGTTCCCAATTCTGATTTTGTGTTATATATAGTTCAAGTTTGGCGTCCCGGCGCCGTTGCCAGAAGATGATAGTGCTCTGAAGGAGCCGTGCCTAGAGATATGCCCTGCTGCAAGTAGTAGAAGGCAAGTTTCTCAGGGGGATAACACAGGGCAATGCCCCAAGGCGTAGCGTATAATATTTCTCTCACTGCTCCTTCCATTTCGCACTGTGGGAGATGTGTGGAATAGAGCACTGCTGACGATGTATTTGTCTGGCTCTCAGATGTGATTTGGTCTGGAACACAATGCCCTCGAACCTGAACCATTTACATAGCCCAAAGAGAAATCTGGGTTGTAGTGGTGCGTTTATCTTAACTAGGTCGAAAGGAATTGCTCCACAGGATGTTTAATTTTTATTTTGTTAAAAATTTTACTTTCGTAAATTCAGAGTAAAATGCTAAACAAAAAGAAACTCACACAATACAATTTTCAATTGTATAAATAACCAAGGTCAGTTCAAGAAAGTCTCAACCACAAATAACACTATACTGAATTTACTGAGTCAAGCTCTCACTAAAATACTACACTTCTAAACTATAAACCTATGAGAGTAAATTGGACTCGATAGCCAATTACACCTCATATTTTAAAATAGGACTCCAAGCATAAATAAAATATTTATGTGAATAGTTGAAAACTCACAAAGATTGTTGTTGGGGGTATACAGTGAGTGGCCCAAGCATGGAGCCCAGGAGGTCGAAATAGGCTGAAGGTGTGAGCATAGCAGGAAGAAAGCCCAGCCCAAAAAGGGGCTAGAGGCTGTAACCTAGGCAGTGGGACCGGGCCCGAGGTAAAGCGCATGGCGACAAAAGGGGGACAACGGCCGAAAGCGTAAGGAGGGGACAGGAGGTGGGGCCATGCACCTCCGTGACAAAAATCGGTATCAGAGTGTCGGGGCGCATGGAAGGGGAAAGGTACAGTGCATTTAATGAGATGATGACGTGGGGCGGATTTGGGGGGCAGTGGTCGACCCTACCCTGGGTATAAATAGTGAAGTGGGTGTAGCTCATTTACTCAGGTTGAAACCTCTCTCTAAAACTTGCATCTCACTTCTCTCTCTAGAAAGATCGTTTGACTTGCGGGTTGGAGTGCTAACAAGCCCTTCCCAAGGGGGCTCGGTGGGCGCCTTTGTGTGCAGGAGGGGGGACGTGGAGCAGAAGCGTGCGAGAGATAGGTGGTGTGTGAGAGCCATTGGGAGCGGCGGGTTACGTGGCACAAACAATTGTCAATTGATAAGGATTTAATTGAAACTGGATTGTCGAAAAACACGTGACTTGTTTTAGTAAATAGAGTAATCAAATTTGATATTAACTTTTTCTAGTGAATAAATATGACACAATTTAATAATCACAGTGATCAAATGTGGCATTAACCCAATAAAAAAATAAAAAATGAAAATGAGATAAATATGTGTCCACTTGCAAATGAAAGAAAATAATAAAAGAAACAAGAATTATGCAAAGATATGTGGACTTAGTGTAATCCCACTAAAATTGACGAAATTTTAAAAATGATTTTAATGAATAATGAATGCTAAAACTATAGCTTCATATATATGTCTATATATAAACAAACTTTTACTTTCTTACCAAATTTAAGTTTTATTTAAAACAACACATTTTTTTCCTCATCCTCAGCTTTCGGTAAAGTTTACTAATCTACAAATTAATAAAATCTAAAATTCACCTCACATACAAAAAATTCATTGGAAAAAAATATTTTGTAATTAACAGTATCCTTTCACACATTCAGCTTGATGGTTCGATTTATATTGGGGTAAATTGCAAGTTTGGTCACTAGGATTACTAAAAGATTTCACGTTTGCCACTAAAATTAATTTATTCCATTTATAGTCATTATGATTAGTTCAACTGTTCAAGTTTGGTCACTCTCTGTTAGACTCCGTTAACTTTCGCTGATGTGGCAATCACTCTCATAGTTGACTGTTAAATGAGTGATGTCACAATTAAAAATTTAATATTTTACAATTTTCAAATCATTTAATAATAACTTAAAATACATAAAATAAAAAATTAGAATTAGAATTTCAAAAGTAAATATTTCTTTCAACCCTCCGTCTTTAACCCCACACTCTAACCTTCTCGCCGACAATTCCATTATGCGACCCAGAAATTCAAATCAACTTGCCCAGTCAGGTCATACAAATAGTAATCATCAAACTCCCCCAGTCGCATGCCTACCAACCGCAAATGAGAATCTCCCCAAATATAACTCCAATATGCGCTACCCCGCTATCCTCTCCGTACTCATGTAAGCAATGGTTCCCACGAAGGAGTTGCAAAGGTCCATGGTCTGCTTGCAAAGGTCCATGGTCTGCTTGCAAAGGTCCAAAGGTTTGTGCCAGCTCCAACGCCGACTCCCTCAGTTCTCGATCGAGGAATTTGCTCAGCTACGTCCAAGGGGAGCAGGTCGCCGCCGGCTGGCCCGCCTGGCGCAACGCCGTCGCCGGCGAAGCCATTCACGGCTGGCTCCCGCTCAAGGCCGATTCCTTCCAAAAATTGGACAAGGTTATTTCAGTTTATCGGGGAAAAGCTCTACTTTTCAACCAGAGAAGACGAAGGAGGATTCGACCGTTGCTCAACACGACAACGTTTCCACAGAGGTCTCGGCTGTTGTTCACAATGACGCCGTTCCCACGAAGACACGCAGGAGCTGGAGTGATGTCGTATCTGGCAAAGTGCATTTTCCTCCTCAAAGTTCTTAATTTCATTTGTTTCCACTTTAAGCAATGTACTTTCTTAAGCCACAAGCTTTGTCTTCTTCCTCGTTCTGTCTGTACTAAACATCCAACTATATAAGCTGAAGACTCAATGAAAAACAACTAAGCTCTTTTCTCTCCAACCCTAAATGGTTGTTATGGTATCAGAGCCTCTCAAACCCTAGCCGCCACCATCACAAACAATGGCTACATCTCAAAATGCAGCAGACAATGCTTCCAATGAAGCAGCTCCTCAGTCCCAAAACCCTGACCCAATGTCAGATCCCTTCTATCTTCATGGTTCTGAACAACCTGGTCTCCACCTTGTTGCAGAAAAACTCACACCTATCAACTACATCGACTGGAGTAAAGCATTCCACAATGCCCTTGGTGCCAAGAACAAGCTTGGTTTTGTGGATGACTCTATTCCAGATCCAGGTCAAGGACATGCTAATACCTGGGCTTGGACAAGGAACAATATCATGGTTCTTTCCTAGATCTAGCAGGCAGTCGACCCTGGGATCAGGAAAACCATCATGTCTTGCAAGACAGCCATGGAAGCTTGGAGAAGCCTGCGTGACAGGTATGGCCAGGGTGACATGGTCCGAATAGCTGAGCTCATTGAGTCCATCTGCACACTCAAACAAGGTAACTCATCTGTTACAGAGTACTATGGCAATCTGATAGCTTTAAGAGGTGAGCTAGATAACTACCAACCCATAGAACCATGTGCTTGCACCACTACCAGTCACAATACATGTAGAGCTATGCAACTGGTTCTAGGTTACAGAGACACCAACTATGTCATCCAGTTCCTACGTGGCCTAAATGACAACTTCACCACTGTGAGGTCACAAGTCTTGTTTGGAGATGACTTACCCTCCATTGATCGTGTATTCCAACGCATGCTCCAACATGAGCGACAGCTATCTGGTTCCCAATCAGGGAAATCTCCTACATCAGAAGGACTGGCTTTTGCTGCTCAGACAAAACCTAACTATCAGGGCAGAAGGCCAAGACCTTACTGCACATACTGCAAGTTCACATGCCACACAGAGGACACCTGTTATCACAAACATGGCTGGCCCCCTAGAATGGTCAATCCTAAGTCACCAACCACTTCTACCAAACCTGTGCACTCACTGCAAGAAACAAGGCCATACTGAAGATAAGTGCTTCCAAAAACATGGCTATCTACCAAGGACTCCAAATCGAGGCAGGGCTTCTGTCAATGCCACCACAACTACTGCTGATAATGATGAAGTCAAACTTACCAAAGCTGAATATGAGAAAATCATGAGTATCATGAAGGCACAAGAGGCAGGCAAAGCACCACAGCACCCTGCTTCATCCTTTTCTGCTGCTACTTGGACCAATCACAACCCTGCAACATCAGGTACATTCACTTTCACAGCACATCATGACTGTTCATCACAACATCATTGGATCCTTGATACAGGAGCTTCAGACCACATTGTCTGCTCCTTGAACTATCTGGTTCACTCAAGGAAAGTACCAAACATTCCTATCACCCTACCTACTGGTGCTCAAGTTCAGGCCACTCATGTTGGCACAGTCACATGTGTTGCAAACCTGGTTCTTGAAAATGTCCTCTTTGTTCCACAGTTTAATTTCAACCTCATATCTGTGAGCAAACTGACAACAAACCCTTCACTTCACTTAACCTTTTTTTCAAATGTCTGTCTCATACAGGATTTGCAGTTGAGGAGGATGATTGCTTCTGCTAAGCTCACCAATGGCCTTTACTTTTTTGATAGCAACCTTATCTCTAGGACTCCTAAACATTTTGCTGCAGCCAATGCACCAAATTTTGACCTCTGGCACTATAGGTTAGGCCATGTTTCCCATTCCAAAATCCCTCTTCTGAGGAAACTCTGTCAATCCATAGAAACAGATAGCTCATCTCCTTGTGATACATGTCATTTTGCTAGACAGAAGAGGCTTCCTTTTCCCTGTAGCAACACAGTTTGCAAACAAGCATTTGAACTTATACATGTTGACTTATAGGGTCCTTTTGTTGTTCCCAGTCATGATGGTTTTCGTTATTTCTTAACCATTGTTGATGATTTCACTCGAATGACTTGGATCATCTTGCTACAAGCTAAATCTGAAACTAGAACCAAACTGCAACATTTCTGTACTCATGTTCTCACACAATTTCACCTACCAGTCCAAAGAATCCGCAGTGATCAAGGCAAAGAGATTCAAATGCATGACTTTTTTAACACAACTGGCATCCTTAATGAACAATCCTGTGTTGAGACTCCACAGCAAAATAGCAAGGTTGAAAGGAAACACCAACACATCCTTGCTGTTGGTTGTGCTCTCAAATTTCAAGCCAATCTTCCCACTGGTTTTTGGTCAGATTGTGTTAGACATGCAGTTCACCTTATTAATCGAGTCCCTACTCCTGTTTTAGCCAACTTCACACATTATGAAAAGCTTTTCCACAAACCACCAGACCTCAATGAACTCAAGGTCTTTGGTTGCTTATGCTATGCCTCAACCCTGTCCAATCACATAACCAAATTTGACCCTAGATCACGCAAATGTGTGTTCCTAGGTTTCACCACTGGCATCAAAGGCTACAAACTATATGATCTAGCCAGCCATGAGGTCTTCACCTCTCGTGATGTCCATTTCTATGAAGACCATTTCCCATTCAAAGTGACAAGCCAACTGATCTCCATTCCAGTCCCTACTCCTCATCA